GCGAAGTCCAGATCCTTCAAGTGTTTTCTGTGGGTCCATTTTATGGCTGTTTCCTAATTGCCCGCTGTTTGTCGCATTATCCAGTCTACTGCAATCAGGAAAATCATTGGCGATAGTAGGCAGCCAGCTTGTCTTACTCCTGTCTTCACTTCGAAGGGTTCCGTAAGTTTTCCGTTGTGGATTGCTTGGTATGCAGCATTATAGCACAACTGTTGGCAATGAATGTGTTGGCACTAAATTAGTTCTTTCTGATAAAAAGCAGTAACACAATTATTTTTGATGAATGCACAATAGCGTAATTCGTTGGTGAGTGGTGTTTTTCACCTTCAAACTTCCTTAAATCCGTTATTTAAACGATTTATAAATGACCGATCGGAAAGCAATCCCACTTCAGCCTAATTATACGTATTATAGTACCTGGTTGTGTTGGTAGTTCAGTAGGAAAATGCTCATCAGTGACGCGTTATTTTCAGGTTGATTCTCAGTGGACACGGTGCAACATCACACATCCTGACTAGACAGTAGTAAAGCAGGGGAAGAGAAGATGTTTGGCGTTGCGTTAGAAGTCTCACTTAGTAAAAAAAGTAAGATCACAGCTATTGAAACGCCAAAGCTTGAAGCCCTATGTTCCACTGTGTGCAGAATGACTGGATAGTGATTAAGAAAAACGTGATCTTATGTAAATTGCACTCATTTCCACGCCATATGACTTAACTATAACCCTTTATCATCACTCACAACCTGAAACAGATAGGGAAATACTCCCAACGATATACTTATGCAACTAACATAAAGTTTGTATTATTTAGTTTGAAAACTAACAAATCTACAATTATTTTAAAATAATAATATCAGACTAATTTCGCAGCCTCATCAAAACTCAAAATCCACTGTGTTCCTGAAAAAATAAATATCTCCTATATGAAATCAGTGAAGCGAAATTTGTAACTACTTATAGAGAATCAGTTAATTTTTGTGTGTTGTCACAGTTTCGCATATAAGATGTCAGTATGAATCATCTGTAGTGTTAGCAGGTCTACTTATTAAATAAAACTGAGAAGATTCGCTGTCTACCGGATATTATAGATGACAGAAAGTAGATAAGGATATCTCCACTCTTTTCGTGATTACTTTTTTTTCTCATGTAAAATCATAAATTTTCTAGTAAGTTGAATACTTTCCTCTGACTACAAATAACGAAATAGGTTCTATTTCACTTATTAAAAACAAATATTCCTAATGAAATAAAAACAGAAATAGAAGTAGATCTAGGCAGGATAAATGAAGACAGGGAAAGATAGAAGATAAGCCAGCTAAAGGCTACAACCTATAACACATGAAAGATAGGGTAGATAAGTTGAAGATAATTTTGAAGATCGCAATAAAATTCATCTTTTCTGATAGATAGTTGAGTTTTGTAGAAAATAGAAAAAACTGACAATATGAGGAATATTGGCGGTTAAAATAATTTTCTCGGATCTGAATCTTTGTTGGTTACTGAATGTAATGTATCATGGCCTTCTATTAACACTAATTAAACGTCTCTATAACTAATTCATGTACGTGTATTCGACTTTTACAGAAATTTATTTTATGCATACTTAGCGAATATTTATCACTTTTTAATCGAACATTGGCTTTTTGATTGTCTTGTTATACAGTGCATTGTTTTGATTCCGCGTAATTTAGAAATTTTGTGCCTCCAGTGTACACTGTCTCTTCAAAACCAGCCCCCTCCCCATTTTACTTTCGGAAATTGAAGATAAACTACCTAAATTTGCTTCTTCTATTTCCGTCTGTCAGTTCGACTGCTACTGTGAAGCCAGTTACATAGGGCGCACAATCGGATGTTTTCATTGTCGGACATTGAATACCATTCTGCCTGTTTAAACAAGGGACAAACAAGGTCCATTCATAGCTGCAGTCTACCTCTTATCATGGATGAAGATTGGAGTCATGTCATAGTACACAACAAATGCTTACATAGAATGAATTCCCATAAATTCCTACTGTCTGCTTTCATTTAGGAGTTTAAATAAAACAAAAGATAAATATGACGTATGCAGAAACAGCGAAGGCAGGACTCCAGGTAAACATAGAGAAGACGGAGGTGGTGAAGATAACCAACCACCACCAACAGCAACAACAACCAAAACCAGTCACCATAAATGGGAGGGATTTGACAGAAGTTACTTTCTTCATTTATCTAGGAAGCATTTTTTCAACCACAGGAGGATAGCATGGATGAAGATATCAAAGCCAACCAACCAGCCAGAATCGGAAACGCAAGATACACCTTCATCAACCTAAAACCAGTTAGAAAATCTTTTGCCTCACTCAGCCAACATCAAGAACAAGATTCGGATTCTAATCAACAAAAACGGGAAGTCAGTCAGTCAATTCGCCTATACGAGTCAGAAACTTGCACCGCGTGTCACGAAAAGTATTTCCAACAGCCTACTACAGACTTTGATCAACAGTTGTCACCTTGCTGGCTGCCTCCATACTGAAGATTGAATAGCCGGCCAAGGAGAACGAATTAGCAACAAGAAACTCTTTTTGGGAACAAACCAGAGAAGAGCCGATAACTCAACAAATATTTATGAGAAAATTGAGATGGATTAGGCATAAATTGAAGAGAAAAGGCGTTCAGCAAAGAGTTACTCTTTTCGGCGATATCATTCTCAAGCTGTACAAACCGCAAATTTATAGTAATTTTTCTTGGCAACGAAAGGAATATTTCCAAAGATGTGTTAATGCAATTGTTAATTTCTTTGACAACAAATTGCGCAATTTAGAAGGCGTTAATCGGTTAGAAACTAAAATAAAGTTACAAAAGTAGGTTGGGTGACGTAATCTAATTGATAGGGTTCAATGAAAAATGAATGAGAGTTAAGTTAACAAGCTGGGTAGAATTCACTCAGAAATAAACGAAAATGGAGTTAGCAACAGTCGTCATGAGGGTAGAGATTTAATAGAGCGTGGGGGTAGAAAATAATGCAATTAAGAAACAGGAAAACAAAGAAGAAAGAGGTAAGACAAAATTACGTATTTGGTGTTAAGATAGATCAGGACCATTATAGATTTAGTGACTGAACAAACTTCTTTTGTATGCAGAGTTCAGGATTCAATATGTGAAATGTCATTGCTTCTGCACTTTGAAGAAGTTTAATTCGTAATCTTTTGGCAAGATTCCCACGTATTGTGTAGATAACTGAGAAGTTGTTTTGTGGGTTTGCTTGGTGTCCGGATTTGATCAAGTGTTCTAGGATAGAGCTGTGGCGGGGGGGATCTTCTTTCTCCTTTATAAAACCATGAAGGTAAGTGTTCACTGATTCGTTTGGATAGCAAACGCTGGGTACGGCCGACATACCTAGCTCCACATGAGCAGGTGAATTGGTAGATGCACGTTGATGAGGCCTCCAGTGGAAGCTTATCCTTCACGTTCGTGCGAATCATTGGTTTCGTAGAGAAAGTTAGTCTGAGTTCAGCTGCGAAGAAGGTTTCCTTCAGTGAACGGCACAGGTGGTTTCTCAGTATTTCTGCTGAAGAATCTCCGCTGAATTGTAGATTCAAATAGAGAAGTTTCTTGGGAGCAGTAAGCATGGACGGTTTTTGTGTTTTGGGCTTCATAGCTTTTGTGATGAAACGTTCCGGGTAACCTTTTTCAAGGAGGATTCTTTTCAGGGTCTTCAGCTCCTCTTCTATAGTTTCCGGACTGCAAATATTGTGGATTCTGTGAGTCAGTGAGAGGATTAGATTTCGTTTTGTATATAGAGGCACCCAACTGTGAAAGCTGATGAGCTGTCTATTCCATGTCGGTTTTCTGTGAATGGATCTTTTGAGTGTCCCGTCTTGTTCGCGTCTTGCTAGTTGCACGTCCAGAAAAGATATTGTTGCGTTGGACTCCTTCTCTAGTGTGAACTGGATTGCTGGATAGCAGCTGTTGAAGAAGTCCAATATGTTCTCCAAATTTTCCTCATTATTGGCGATAATAAAAGTATCGTCCACGTATCTCTTGTAGAACCCGAAGTTATCTATTATCTTCTTTAGGTGTATATTTTCTAGTTTTGAAATGAAAATATCTGCAAGCAGAAGAGACCGTCAAATGACATTGCGCACAATGCAGGCCAACCATCACTTGAGTGGAATCCCACTAGGAAGTGACGAGTATGTCGTCGCTTCGAGGGTGACATGGAGGAGATGGTATAGCGACGAAGAGATGGGAGATTATGGTTAATTGTGTCGCTAGCCAGATGAAGAGGACGGTGGAAAACAGAAGGAAGTGAAGACGTGTTGCTGAAGCCCTTTGTTCTACTCGGAACCCAAGGGAATAATAATAATATTTCACTCTTTAGAAATATGCATACTCTTAATCGAAATTAATTGGCTTCGAAGAAATCTTCTCATCTACAATGTAATAATTCAATGGACACTTTCACAATACACTTTTTCTGAGAGAAGATAGTTATCATACTGTTAACACAGATAAAATAATACACAATACCTTCAAAGGTTTCCTAATTTTTGGTTATTTTTACTGAAATGGATATAATAGATCAACCCTTGTCCCCAAATAGATAATAATACATACTTGAGCATACACTATGATGATTCTCAACTTGTTTTTATTCATTGGATAGTAGTTAAGGGTAGAATTAACTAGGTATACCTCGTAAATTTGGAGATTTTCTATCTGGATGTGGTTAAATTGGGGTGGTTACTGGCATTACACTAGGACGACACTATTTTTTTCACTGGATTTTTTATTATTCTGGTTGTTTTACCCCACCACACTAGAAGTGTAACCCTTGTTACTCATTTGATCCGTTTACCCGAATGTAGTAATTAATCTTATTAATTAATAGACACAAAATTAATACAAATATGATGGTAATTATTATTACCATTATTATTATTATTACAATATATATTATAGTATTTGAAAAAATATTTATAATCCTTTATAATAGCATACTTATATTATTTAGATATGAATGAATAGATCACAAAATATTTGTTTTATAACAAGTCAGTCAGTTTATGTGACTTATTCTAGTAGAAAAAAAGAATAAAGAATATATATATATTACTGTGGTCGCATATGTTCAGCTCGGCTAGTGATACCTTCTTCAGCTAATGAATTTACTTTGAATGGCAAATGTCCTGAACGACAATGTCCTAAACATGCTCTTAGTATATGCACAGCAGTTTGTTGTGTTTTCTCTACATCTTCTGGAGATCCCAATAGAGGATTTAATTCAGCCATTTCGACAACAGACAGCTTTCCTGTAAAACCAAAATAAATATTATGTAGTATAATACAATAAATAATAACAATAAAATATATAAAGCCAAGTAACATCCTATTTTTATATTTGGGATCTCACAACAAACATGGTTATTCTCTCAAAGTAGAAATGATGTTATTTAGTTTACAACGTCTTAAAGTGGAATCCAATGTGTGGGTCTCTTCCTGTCTGGATTCGTTAGTTGAATGTACTTGGATTCCAGGTGAAACTCGTACCAGGTACCCGTAGTATCAAATACTAAAACGGTATCTACCACCCGGCATTGGGACACATTATTCGACTCCCGTACAACGGATATTAGTTGTTATTTGTTTAACTTACTGCTGTATTTTCCGTTGATATCATTAAAACGAAATACCTGATGTGGATGCTTTGACAATCAGAGCTTTCATGGAAAACAAAAGGAGACATAATACTTAAGAAAATTTTCTTTTCAACGAATCCTTTTCAAAAGCCGTACAGTTATATTTATATATTCAAAGTCTTTCGACATTCCAGGTAGCTGTCGTAGGAGTTCCTCTCAGATGCTCATCCTTTATATTGCATTAACTTTCCTAGTCAACCAATTTAATGAAAATTCCTTTAGTTTTGCATATTTCCAACATCTCCTTCGCCATCAATTCACTCACAGTTTTGGTGAAAATGTTAAGCCAGGATACATATAAGTTCTCTCCATTTCGCTGAATCACCTTCTACTGAAAACCGTCAATTATTTTCTTTTTACGAGTTGATCACGGATTGATATCAGTTAGAGAAGCATTGAAAACCAGGGAGTACTGGACAGCTGCTGTTTCATCCTAGTTTGGGAATCATCGGCAGTAGGCACCCATTGGGATTCGAACCCAGGACCTTCCGGTTACAAAGCAAGCTCGTATACCAAACTAGGATGAAACAGCAGCTGTCCAGTACTGCCTGGTTTTCAATGGTTCTCTAACTGATATCAATCTGTGATCAACTCGTAAAAACATAACTAACCCTTACAAACCAAACTATAGACAATTAATTTCGTCAGGTCACAGAATTAAGGTTTACATGATGCATAATGAAGACCTGCAACTCAGACATCCTAAAATCTGAGTTGGTTCTCTACACTCCTATATATATATATATTATACCTTGACTCCACACAGTATTTTTGATACAAGCATGGAATTTTCAGCGTGTGATATCGGCAGCCCAAATTTTGCAGGCCAACCATTGATATCGGATGTGCGTCCGCCGGGGATCGAACCCCGGACCATGTGCATGGTCGGCGAGCGTCCTAACGGCTGAGCCACCGACGCACATATATGTATATCATTAGTTCATTGGTTCGCAGCTGGAACACAGGTCATATGTAGCACACATCCATTGCACTCGGTTGTCTGTGATTGCTTCCAGCTGACTATGACTGCATGCAAGTTTTCAATTCCTTCTCACAAGATATTATCGATTTCACCCTCAGGCGACTATGGAGGCTTGGACCACCCATCACTTAATAAGTATGATCTATTTCATATTGTATTGGTTTCACTTTCATATGCTGAATAACGCTTAAGCAGCATTTACAAACATCTACTATTTTTGTATTAAACGTGGGTAGTAGAATTGGTTAAAAGTCAATTCGTTTTCTTTTATTGATAGGGAAATCATGTACATTTTTGAAGTTAAATATTCTTAAACTGTTTTAATCTATCAGTAGACCACGTTTAGTAGACTTTCTTTGTGACAAGTTGTTGAAAGACAAAATTTCAAGATTTTCTACTACTCTGTCTGACAACCGTTTGATTCGTATGAATGCTCTCAGTTTTCTTTCATCTTAAGAAATTGTAGCGCGTTTTATCAGTATTATAAATCTAGCCGTTTCTTAAAGGGTTACCTTTACTGGTATCCAGTTCTGTTCAGCATTACGAGGTCTTTAAAATGTGTCTGCGGTTTTCGTAAATAAGCTGAAATGAAGAAATACATTCGACTAAATTGAAAGGAAGTCCTTTTGATTCCTCCATTCCCTATATCTGAGATTATAGTGCTATACAGAACAAAAGAGTTTCTACTCTTGGTTTACTGAATAGAGCGATCACTTGACTGATTTTGTTCAATACGCAATCGACTAGACTGGCACACATATACTTTTAATAGCTGATAATCTGCCTCCTAAGAATAAGTTGCATAAGAATTTTTTATCCCCATTGTCTCTGGAATTATTTGTCAATAAGTATGTCAAAATAAAATCCAAGTGTGAATATAGACAGAAAACAATGGTAGATTGAAATCAACACAGTTATTTCATTGTAATTCCAACTGCATTAAGGATGGTAACTCCAACAGATGTTGCTGTTATATTTTTGCATAACAAACTTCGACTACTTTCAAAATACATAGTAGTATAAAGAACCACTTCAGATTTTAGGATGTCTGAGTTGCAGGTCTTCATTATGCATCATATGAACCTTAATTCTGTGACCTGACGAAAATAACTGACGATTTTCAGTAGAAGCTGCTTCAGCGAAATGGAGAGAACTCATATGTATCCTGACTTAGCATTTTCACCAAAACTGTGATTGAATTGTTCGAGATGGAGGTATCGGAAATATAAATATGTAGATGTATACGGATGATGACTACTGTTCACATTTGATCAATTTTCATACAGTTTAAATGTTGTTTATTCATTCACGCTGTCAGTGGAATATTGGGCTCCAGTCTAGAGCTTTAGAGTTTGAATAGCAATGGTGTTTATTTCCACGGGGTGGGGTTGTTAGCGTCATGCCAAACCTTCTTTCTTTACCGGTTTTATCACTGGCTTAGCGAGGCGAAGGGCTGCGTCGGCCAGGGGTTGAACCTTGAACCACGTGCACAGTTGGTCAGCATTCTATGGCGAAGCCGCCGGCGCGGTAGGTGAAGACTTTTCTTTATACAATTTACACAAAAATATCATTTTAGTTTACATTGTTTCTTACCCGTTGCTGAAATTTCTTCGCATATTCGTAATCCTTCACGTAGTGTCAATCCACCTGGAACTGCTGTACCTGTACTTGGAGCAATAGAAGGGTCTAAAGCGTCAATATCAAAGCTTAAATGAATTGGTCTTTCTAATCTATAAAAAATGAGTAGCATAAAATACTTTCCATTTTAAAATTACGGTAAAGACTTCTGTAGCAAAATGTAAATAAAGTAAAACTTTTAAGAAATTTAAGCTAATTTTTGGATTCGGAAAATTCTGTACTAACTAGTATGGGTTGATAATCATTATTATTATTAAAAAACAAATCTGGCACATTATGGGCACCGAGAGATTCATCACACAAAATCTCACAGTTTGTACGAAGACTGACATACTGCCCGGATGCCCAGACAGGTGGTTGTATAAAGAAGCCGCCCACGAATCTTTGACTTGAAGTCTGATCCGTATCGCAATGGAGCAGAGTCAGACACTATAATCCCATGGTTGGCAGTGACCTTAACAGCTTCATACACTGTTTGATCTAATCAAATTCTAGGGGCCCATATATGTCATAAGTTTGGAATCAGGGTTTTCCAGCTCCCGTAGACAGACTACCTGTTGTAAGCGCCAGACGTTCTCGTAACGTTAAAATAAAACCTAAGGCGTGAAAAGTATTTGTTTTTTCTGCATGACAGCTGAGTATTTCCTCCGTCTATATCTTTTTTATTATACTCATCACTGATAAATTCTCCCACTATCGTTTGCTATCGGTGTCTCATCATCATGAATTATAAAATCTTGTTTTGTATGAAAAGTAATATCAAAAGTTCAAGTGATGGTTTATAGGGATTTGATTGGTTACAGGATTTTCATCATGAGCTGACATCAGTTAGAGAACCATTGGAAAACCTGCAAGGAGTACTGGAAAGCCAGCTGTTTCGTCCTGGTTTGGGACTCTTCAGCAGTACGCACCCACCGGGATTTGAACTCAGGACCTTCTGGTTACAAGGCGAGCTCGTATACCACTAAGCCACTGAGGCCCGATCCAATGGCCAGACCATGAATTCCAACTCCTGCCAATTCACGACATAGCGCGACCCCTAGCCAATGTCTTCGGCGAGTATTTATCCTCACACCCGACCTACTGCCCCCTACTGGTCACGACTTCTCACAAGAACCTCAGGTAACTAACTACCCATCTGAATAGGGCAAGTCGCTAGTGAGCTGCTTGATGTGTAAATTAGTTATAATCCTTGCTGTTCAAGAGACTGACATACAAAAAACCAATTAAAAATCGCAGAACAGTCTAGAAACAGTTTTTGATATTTCTACAGATGGAACTCTTCAATGTCAGGTTTAACAAGTGTGTAGTAATACTTCACTGTCATTATAAAATTATCTTCAACTTAAAGAATTCTTTATAAGAGTTCAGAATATTTCCTGCCTATTCAGGCTAAAAATATTATTAATTTCATTTGACTATGAAAAACATTTCACTTGCTGAATTTTAAATTACATGAATTCACACTATTTAACTAAGAACTTCAATTACTCATGTATACGCAGAGGTAAGATTACTTAACTTTTTAAAGCATGTTTAGTGAAACTGAAAAGAACAATCAAGACAAATGCAGTGAGAGTATTATTCAAACGTTAATTTAAGCAGATGAAAAAGAGCACATTGATGAAATTATGAATTTGTGAGCCCATGATTTCCCTTTCAACGCTTTGAAAACATCTGAGCTTTGGGTAAACGATATTGATCATTCTTTCCCAATGAATAAAAAGCAAAACGATATTGCTGTTTTTACTGACATTTCGCTATCTAATGCTGCTAATAGCTTTATCAAAGCATTTAAAAAAATTTCAGAAATCAAAAAGAACTCCTAATATCAGAAGCACCTCATATCGAATGGAATCCAAATTCTCTGAATAGGAATAATGGACTGAAATAGAATTTGACCTGGTTACAGCAAACCACCCCCCTCCATGAAATGACAAAATCAACACGAATGCGATAAAAAATTTCATTATGCAAACACATACTGCTTTTGTAATTTTATTATTATTGTCATTATTCCCTTGAGTTCCGAATGGAATATGGGGCCTCAACAACACATCTCCACTTTCTTCTATTTTCTGCCTTCCACGATTGACCATAATCTCTCATCTCCCCCCTCTTTGCCACACCCTCTCCTCCATGTCCCCTGAATGTATGCACCAACCATCCCCATTTTCTTCTACATGTCTGTTGCGCGATCGGATGTTGGTTGGTTTCTCCATGTCAGAGTTTCCTCTGCAAATTCCTTCCCACTGGCCAGCCATTTGACCTCCAGTATGAAGCCAGCGAGAATGGCAGCTATTGATAAGAGTCTGTAAATTGTTGGAAATCCTTTTTGAAACACTCAGTGCAAATTTTTGACCCGTAAAGGAGAAATGAATGGTTGACTAACTTCACATTTGTGTTGAATAGAATCCGAATCTTGTTCTTCATGTGGAAACGGAGTGCGGAATATTTCTCAACTGGTTTCAGGTTGATGAAAGCGTATCTTGCCTTTCTGATTCCGACTGACTTTGACATCTTCATCCATGCTGTCCTCCTGTAGGTGAAACGATGCTTCCTAGATCAAATCCAATAATCTACACTTGGTTTTGTTATCTTTACCAAATGACTAATTTGACAACGTAAAAATCACCCCATGCTTATGAAGAATGATTAAGTTGTTATATATAAGCTCAGATTTTTTAAAATTCTGGCATAATAATACTTTGATACAGCTATTACCAGCATTAAATAGCGAAATGTCAGTAAAAACAACAATATCGTTTTGTTTTTCATTCATTGGGAAATACAAAAACAATCTTTTATAATAATGAACATGATTTCCCCTTATTAGAAGTTAACAATAAAGTTATGTGACTGGAAGAAATAATCTGACACTTCCAAAATCCACTTAGTACTTAATAAAAAAACAAACAACAATAACAAATTCAATGTACTTTCAGACGGCAGTATAATGTGACCATTTGACTTTAAGGTTATCGAGTTAATTTCATTTGTACGTTATTTCAAAGAATTCCTAAAGATTTGTATTCTTTCATAAAATAATGCTGGTGTATGACAGATGATTATGATTGACTAAAGTTTGACAGTAGGAATTTCCGTAACGGACTGATGGTAATTTCGGTTAGTATACTTTAAGAGGTGCGTCGGTAGTGGTTCAGCAATACGTCGCTGGCCAATGACGAACGTGGTTCGGGGTTCGAGCCCCGGCAGGCGCCCACCTTTACCTCTCTTCCCGACAAAGAGGGAAGGTTTGGCGTGAGGCTAGCAACCCAATCCCGTAGAAGGAAACACCACTGCTACTGAAACTTCAAGGCGAAAGCTTGAAGCCCTAAATTTAACTAGGTACGCAATGGAATAAAAAATATTTTAGGAGTGATGAAAATTATAAATTACAGTTTCACTAACTTTGATCAAGCGCTTGAATTAAAATATGATCTGAAAGCCAAGAAGTTCTTGGCTGAAGACCGTAAGAAGTTAATAATGCATAAAGTTGAAAAGTGTCAAATTAAAACTAAACAGCGTTACTAGTAATTCCTACTTTTTTGTCTGTTCTCTGGATATTAGTGAATTTTCATATTTTTTTCAATGACATTTACTCTTAGCAGCACTAGAGGAAACTTCTCTTGGTGTATTTGACAGTTTTATTATTATTCTGACTTAAAAGATTACTGTATCCTAAAGCCTTTTTTGTTCTTTCACGTTCCCAGTGGAACATAGGGCTTCAAGCTAGAGGCTTGAAGTTTCTGTAGCAGAGTTTATTTTTATGCGATGGGGTTGCTGGTCTCATGCCTAACCTTCCCTCTTGACCAGTCTTATTACTGGTTTAGCGAGGTAAAGGAGTGCGTCCAGTGGCCGGGGATCGAACCCCAGACCATGTGCATAGTCGGCGAGCGTCCTAACCGCTGTACCACCGACTCACATAAGACTTTAGTATTACTGGTATTATCGTGACATTATTGTTAACCATCGTAAATAAAGTGTCTTTATGAAATTCACTGAAACTGATGACGCTGCCTACAAAAACATGTGTACTATATAAGAATAAAACCAATACAGATACTGGTTTCCTGTATACACATATATAATATTTACGTCATCAGATAACTTCGACAGTATATATACTGTGGTAACCAAGGGAATTATGATTGATGATCTGTGTTTACGCTTCAAATGTACACCATAAACCATCAGCTTCTTATGACGCAAGATTTAATTACTGTTGTTGTTTTTATTATCACATTGTCATCATTATTAATTGAATATCTACATTTCTAAAATTGTTAAAATTAATCATTCTTCTCGATCATCAAAAAAACACTGAAAACGGTGACAACTTCATAAATAGGTCGAAGTTATACAACTAATCATCAATAAAATGCACACTGGTCCAATCAGTTATATACATAAATCAAATATACAAAGCGATTGTGTTCAGGTTTTATTTAAAATGATCTAAAATTCATTAAATTCAGTATTATTCTGTGAATTTAATTGTATAATCTTATCGAATGATACAGTTTGTGTGTATTTTGTCGATAAAAGACTGGATAGAGAAAAAAGAACACACAACAAAAGTTGAGCAACGATATCTTGCCGGCAAGATAGCCTACAGTGAATGTTTTGATCTTTAGACTAATACTAACTGAGTAGTCAGTGACAACCAGAATTCAGACCACTGGTGGAGTGAAATCCGAGTGGTTTTTGCAAACTTTGACGCTGAAATATTTCGTATATTATATCCGACTTATATCAGACCTCATTTGGAATGTGAGATCCAGGCAGCGAGTCCTTGTTTCAAATACGAAATAGACTTATTAGAAAGGGTGCAAAGAGTAGGAACTAAGCTAATAAAGGGTTTCTCAACCCTCTCATATGAGGAGAGGTTAAGTCGATTGGGTTTATTTCCACTGTCATTCAGACGACTTAGGGGTGATCTAATACTAGCATACCGTATCCTAAGAAATGATTCTGGAGCTAATTTATCTAATTTATTTCTTCCTTCTAGCACCAACCAATTGCGAGGACATCACCTCAAGGTTCAAAAACCACGATCGAATCGTCTGCGTCTGGAGACCCATTTTTCGCATCGAATTGTGAACCCTTTGGAACTCCCTACCGGAACACGTCGTATCACCGCCATCCGTCGATTCATTCAAGACGAGATTGGACCTCCTGTGTGCAACAAATCGAAAGGATTAACACAGGCATATAGCCTACTATCCTAAATAAATTGTAAACTGTAAACTGGAAGCGACGAGTGAGTCGTCCTAGGGTTATATGGAGGAGATCGTGTAAGGAGGAGATGATAGAATATGGGCAATCGTGGACCCAATTGAAGAGTAAAGCAGAAAATAGAAGAAAGTGTAGATGTGTTGTTGAAGCCATGTGTTCCACTTGGGACCCAAGGGAATAAGAATAATGATTCTGATACCTCATCTCTTTTACTACAATCCTCTTTCGTGGAAAAAGTGTCTTATAAATGCTACCGTAAAACTAAAAGATGAATCTTCTGAAAAGAACCACTTCACTGAATTACTTGTTCTATCTTTTTTACCGATGACTGGATGGGGATTATTCATGAAATTGTAATTTTGTCGTATCCTATTATAGGATATGCCATGACTGTGTTATGAAATGCTTCCGTATTCACTTTATTGGTAATTTCCGTTCTATTAATCTTTTTAATGTAATAACATTCAGTCTATTCTCATTTCAAGTTATCTACACATTTTCAGATAATAAACTCTTTTAACTGTGTCGGTGGCTTGGCGGTTAGGACGCTCGCCGACCATGCATATGGTCCGGGGTTCGATCCCCGGCCGGCGCACTCCTTTACCTCTCTACGCCAGAAATAATGATGGTGAAGAGGAAAGGTTGGGCATGAGGCCAGCAACCCCATCCTGTAAAAAATAAACACTGCTACAGAAAATTCAAGGCACTAGCTTGAAGCCCTATGTTCCACTGGGGAACGTGAAGGAAGAAAAACTCTTATAACTATATGGCTTTTACTCTCATTTAAATCGCTAGCTAACTCTTGCATATCATTTCGTCTACTTTTACAAAAGGTGATTCCACTAGAAATTGCTCTCCCCCTTTCTCTCTCTATAACAGTGCAGATTTTTGTTTATCACATCAATGTCTGATGCATACAATCAAAACGATTTAACAACAGCTCAAAAGTATAGACAGTATCAGTTAATGTCAACTAGACAGTATATTTATAAAAGCAATAAAACTATGGATGTCAGGTGACATCAAATATTGGAATATTTTGTTGTGGTCATAAAGAATGAGTTGTACTCGAAATATTATCATATAAATGACAGTTATTCACCTTATATTATGTCAGAGCCATAAAATATAATATGGCTTTTTACGTACACAGTTGTACCAAAATTTATTATGATGTCATTAATTCACAAGCATTCAAGAGTAATTTTAATTTCAGACTGGTTAGTACTCCGTAAACTGAGAATATAACCATCTCATAGATGTTTACGAGATCCAATATTAAATTTTAAAAAAGACAGATTTTTCGATGAAGAATTTATTATGAACTGATATGAGTTAGAGAACGACTGCAAACAAAGCAGCATTCGGCATCTGTTTACTCCTAGTTTCCAACTTTCCAGGAGTGTTCACCAGTGAACCCACTAGGAATCTAGCACAGAATCTCTAGTTCGCTAAGTGAACAGGTTACTATTCCCTTACCCAAGTGGAATCTATAATTATGAATTCTAACTTCTGTATATTCGTGATATACCTCTACTCTTAGTGAACATCAGTGGTGAGCATCTGTTTCACGCCAAACATAGCACACTCCATAAGTTAAAACCTCATTAGAATTTTAACGTGGGTTCATAGATGTGCACTGATGAAAAGTCTCATGCTGCGGAGAAAGTGTAGTTCAGTACTCGATGGTCTTCGGGGGATTCTATACCCAATGTCGATTCTTGAAAAACTCTAAAGCGAAATTATTCAAACACTAACAAATCCAGAATATGAACAGGTATCTTTCTCAGTCGAAATAATTATATAAGTAATAATATTATCGTATGCCATCGATAAATAAAAGGAATTTGTGGAATAGTGCTTAAGTTATTGCATATAAATCTGTTACGAGAAGTTGACTAATCTAACTATGTCAGACTAACCAAAATCTACATTGAAAAGTGTGTAATGATCAATATACTCAAGTGACACAATACTGCTATTATACACTTAGAACCATTTTCTTTTTACTCTAAATGTTTAGTGTTATAACGGCAAACTAACTAATAAGTACCACTACTCGAGAAATCTAACTTCATAAACCTCAGTCACCATCAAAGCTTAACATCTTTGTTTGACAAAAACATGAATGCAAGCCACTAAAAATTGTATATGCATATTTTGCTAGAAATTTAGATAAAGGGAGATTTTTAAAAAACCATAACATCTTCCACTTGAAACTATTTAAATCACTCTTAAACCTTTTCATATACAGCATAATATAGTCAAACAGAAAAAAAATATCCACAGGAAAACTCGACAACATTTTGGCATTAGGTGAAGGAAGCGAAATAACGCAGACGAATGGCTTCTTTGTTAACACAATTAAATTGTGAAAATTTTCCGACACTTGCTTTTAGAAGAACAAAAGAAGAAAAAACTGCAGGACTTCCTAATCAACCGCCTTCATACTCTACACTCGGATGCTTAAATCTTTTCATATCACATTGTATCAAAACTACACCAGAATATTCTAACTTTTGAGGTTTGTGAAATATTTCAAAACTATATTTCACTACTTTACTGTGTCTCATATATCTTGCCATTCAAAGGCGCGTAATATATTTAGATGTGGATTCTTTATGATAGTTAAAATACGGAATATACACATTTGATCATAGGGAATAAAAAGACAGTTGCAGCGAAGAAAATTTTCTTTTCGACGAAGTCATCATCTAGGCTGTTCATTCGTGTATTTATATCAAATGGATGGGAAAGTTCTAGAATAATTTCCGGTTAAGGGTCAAATTAATAAAAATTACAATTAGGAATTAGAATTTCATAATAAACAGGGGGACGGATAAAAATCAAACAAAGTAGCATTATAATAACTAAGAAGATTGACATTGTGCAATTGGGGGTTAGAAATGTAGAAATAATAAAATAGACACTATATTTCGATAAAAAACTAGTGTGATGAATAATTGTTTATGCAATCAGGGATTAAATATGTAGAAATAGTAAAATGACAAAATAGACAGGATGTGTGAATATGAAAATATGGTAGTGTAGACAGGGATTAAGGAAAACTTAAAATAACATGAATAAACGGAAGTTTAGATAAGAAAGGTGATGGGATGGTCATTACTAAAAAAATTTCCCTGTTTATGATGGCCATGGCAGGGACAGGGATTGGACGTATTTCTTTTGGATAGCTAACGCCTCAGCTATGCCCAGATGTCTTGATTTCACTCCCTTTGATAGGTTTGATTGAATCTTGTATATTACTTTGAAGGATTTTTCGAAAGGCGCTGAATGTCCTGAGTTGACCAGATATTCTGTCACTGAACTGTATACACGATTTTAGTCTCCTTTCCCATCCATTTGATATAAATACACGAATGTACAGCCTAAATGATGACTTCGTCGAATAGCTAAAACAGTATAACACAGTGAACTGAGTAATGGATTAGCTTATCATTGGTGCCTTCCGATATTGTAGTAGTCGCTTACATCTCATGTTATAGACACTCTTTGAAATTGTATAACACTTCAAAATGAAGCATGACCAACAACAGTTATTGTTGTCGTACTCTGCATGATAAACACAGTATATAGTGAGTTTGAAAAGGAAGTGAGGTAAAGATAAGTTGGCGGTAACCAACTCAGATAAGACAACAGAAGATTACATGACGATATACATTACTACGATTTAGGTAAAAATGTAAGAGCTTATGCATATGCAATTATTTCAGGGAACTTGTTCAACTTTTCTTGTCATAATAAATGCTACAATCATGAGTAGAACTTTTATTATTAAACTGACAGTTAGTGAAATAAAGATCAAAACATTAGCTTCACATTACCTTGGATTCACCGCTTGTAATGCTTGTTTAATAACTGTTTCTATGCCCATCTGATCAATGTCAAGCATTGTAAAGTGTGCAATACCACATTTCCGAATATCATATCTAAGAAAATAAATAACACAGAAGATTATTTTTTGCAGTGAGATAGATATAAAACCAAACATAAAAACTGAAACAAAAAACATCTCCCACTATGGCTAAGTAAAGGTGTAGTGAATACCATTAACAGTTCAACATTAGACCACCTGGTCCAAAGCGACCGGCCAGAAAGCCAGCGTTGAAGAATCCTTCTCTATCATCTACCGGGTCCCTAACAAACTGCCAAAATCATCGAAGCACCACATGCTCCAAACAGCAGAGGCTATTGCAATTCACCTCAAACAACCAGTGCTCTGTATTTAAAAGAAGCAAGTCCAGCCAGCACTACTACTGCCCTGACCGGCATTCAGTAGACACTATAAATTCATGAATTTGTATTATCATTATCTTTCCTAATTTTTCTGATATTCAGCTTATTTTATGTTGATGCTACTGAATTGTAATCTATTGATATTATTGATTCGATGTTATTTAGACAACATTAGTGTTGTTTATAACACTAGTTCTATTCACTATTATGTATATATAACTGTAGAGCCTGATGATGAAGTTATCGAAAAGAGTATTTGTTGTTCAGTATCTATTCTTTTGAAGAAATAATAACTTACCAGAGAAGTTAATTACATTTGAAGTACAAATATATCTGGTTCATACTAATTAGTTCTCATATGTCCCATAGATGTTCACTGTCTTTTTAGATAGCTTTTTTTAAAATGATACTTCAGAGTTACAAATGTAAATTATTATCTAGGTAAAGCCTCAAATTCATTATTAAATTCACTATTCTTATTTTATTCATCAGTAAACTGTAATATTACTTAATAAGTTGAGATTGAAGTGGGGACGTGGAGTTAAACACAGACGCGTTGATCACAACTGTCACTTGACTATGCCAAATACATTATATGACAGCTACCTGTGTCCCCATTCGGCATTATCATTTATAGGTACAACATTTTCTTTCTTTCTTTTCCTATTCTCTCTCTTTTTTTCGTTTTGTGCTGCTTTGTTTCTTTTTCTCGCTTACGCCAGTAAATATGACAGCTCCTACTTTTCTAACACCTTCAAACATTGTTTCAGCTTTACCTTTGCTACCGACATGCCAATGTGTTGTTGTCATAATGAACTGAGATTTCCTTAATCTATGTAGAATTTTATTTATTGATAATGTACTAACTGGATGCAATACTGTAGGAAAAATGCTGAGAATTCCATTCTGTATCACAAGTACTGTTTTGGAATAAAGCAAATTATTATTATTATTACTTAAGCGAGAACACACAACGACATAAGCCGCAAAGCACGGTGTACGCAATAATGCATAGATCCAGATATCATCATGGATATGTCAATCTGAGGTTAACTGGTGTATGGTAACTAGCAGTGGAATCCAGGATGCACATTTCGTTCTATCTGAGATTCGTCACCTGGATGTACCTCCATTCCTCGGTGAGTGATGATGCTCCCACAGAGGCTCGAACCCAGTGCAGTTTAACAAGCCCAGACGTCGTCGAAGGACATGCATAAGAAGCCGACATGTCAACCTGAGACCGAGCACTTCGGTTCAGTCAATTGAGGGGAAAATCCAAAATTGAATTAAATGATATGTCGGTCTGTCTGTAATCATGATTAATGTATGGATACGATTTGGGTACTGCGTTAGAATGTAATTCCATATTAGATAAGTTTAATTTAAATATCACACAGTGATGATGCTGTATTAACAACTGGATGATGTTTCGAGGATAAATTATTGTTCATAATCATATCAGTTTAGTCACGAGGTTTCAAAATTTCTGATTGTTGCCATTTTCCATATCTCCGGTACAGGCGTTGGACCATTCCCATTGCACGTGTGCGGTGCCGAATCGATAAACAAAGCTTCAATTCAATACCACACACGTGCAATGGGAATGATGCAACGCCTATACCGGAGATATGGAAAGTGGCAACAAACAAAAAATTTTGAAACCTTGTGACTAAACTGATATGATTATAAGTGAGAATAATTTGTGCTCGAAACGTCATCCAGCTGTGAATACTGCATCATTGTGTGATATTTATAACAAACTTGGCGTTGATTTACGTCAGCTAAATTCTCATTGGTTTATTTCCAGCCTGGATGTCGAGCACGATATCATAAACGCAATCAAACCTAAAAGTTATTCTTAACAACATGGTAAAAAAAATACTCACTGAAAATGGTCATATGGTCTGATATCTAGATAGGCTCTTATTACAGTTTTTAAAAAAATCACCGTAAAAATGGTTGTTCAACCTTGTATTAATAACTAGTTAACAAGTCTTTATCGGCTGTTCTTGCATGTCGTCATAATGGCTCGTTTATTCGTACTAAGATCTTTATCGTAAACATGAAGTCTGCATAAAAATCAGTTTTGTGTAAACACATTTCGCTGACGCAGTTTAATAGGCAATGTCTAAAATGTTTTAATACTCTCTATTGAGAAGCGCGTAATATGTCTGCATCAGATTAAGAAGAATGTGGACTTTACACCAGTAAAATTTAAATTGAAGTAATCGATGTGATAACTTAAGACGTAAGTAAACAGAATGACGAAAGTAATTTGATTGTAAGACTTGGATACTGTGGTAATATGTAACTCCTTATTCGTTCGTTTGTTTATTAAAATAAAGTGAAATAATGGAAAACTTAGTTGAAAAAAACTGACGTGCTGGATGTTTTTGCACTGTTTTAGACTATAGTACTGAGAGGCTCAAATCAGTAGTATTTAGTGATGCAATAAACTAGTGATATACAGTGGCCTAATGATTTATTAGCTTGCCTCCAATTTGATAATACTCAAATGCATATTCATATGTATGGTCTACATTCAAGCTACAAGGAGGCTCATAAGTACATCGTCTTGATATTTTCACCTACCATTCATTACTCTCTCTCTCTCTCTCTATCTTTGATTTCAGCACCTTGTATCGGAGTTGTGTAATCACTTATGTCTGAAGAAGTATCACATTGTTTCATTAGCTACATAGCACCACCATCTGACTCATTCGGCTGTATGTAGCGAATTGCTAAGAGTATACTTACATTTACAAGATAATGTGGTATCTCGTCATTGTGGAAAATATTTTTCACTGACATACGCAATGTAGTTTAATGCAAATCAAGCACCTTTTAAAAAAGTGAAACTCTGTATCAAAGTGTACTTAAAAGATTTTCTGTAAGCCCTGCAAATTTATTCACTCACATCTCAAAGTATTTTTTAAATTTTGGTTTTCTGGGATTTGACTGATTTCACGCTAGATCCCAAATCGAAATTAGTTAGAGAACCGCTGAAATGGAGGTAGTACTCGAAAAGTGTTTCGTCCTGGTTTAGAGACTGTTCGGCATTGAGCACCTATGACATTCACTTAACGAGGCGAGTCTGTTGACCACCTTACCACTGGGAAAGAATCTAATGACAGCTCCATGAATTCCAACTTCTTACAAATCGGGAAACATAATTTAACCATCTACTTCTGTGACTGGCGATTATTTATCCTCACACCTGACTTGACAGACGCTGCTAGTCAAGACTTCTCAGAAGAATTCCATGCCACTTCGCCTTGTATTCAGTCACTAGTGGGCATTCGTTTCATTTTCAAGTGTTGTTTTGCAATGATTTTCCTAATCACAATAATTCTTGAGGGAATGCGTCTAATTTCTTCAACATTCGTTAATACGCCAGTCTTCCCGTTTCAAAACGCTGTATAACTATGTCAGTTAGGTCTTTTAAATTACAAAATAAAATTTTTAATCATTAATAGAACATGTGTTTATGACGTTTAAAAATGATATGCTTACGTTTCATGATCATCCAAGTCGCGCAGACCAATATATGCGATATTACTCGCTTTGAGACTACAAAATTTAGGGTAAAAAGAACAACAGGTTGTCATATTAAAATGCAACAAGTTTAAATTAATAAACAGTCTAGATGCTAAATCATTTACAAACACAGTATAACATGTGGTCAGTTTTGCTTTTATACCTATATACACTATGGTGTTATGGCTGAATGAGTGTCAGTAGGCATTTATTAGATTTATGCAATCTACAGCTAAAATAATCGTAATTGCACGCCATACCATAGAGACTGAACAGTTGGTATGTTGACATACATATTCGTGTGACAGCATTTCACTAAAGAATTTCTGGAAAATAAACTTTCCACGACAACGTATACTTAAGTGGTACAATATCACCCCGCTGACAGAGAATCTGAGTGAATTCAGCGTGAAAGATAAATAATACTGACTTATGAATGAAACAGTAGTAAAGCTTTCTAGTCAAATAACTTTAATTACCGCAACTGAACAATTTTCTTATGGTTTCGTAAAATGTTCTGTAGTTCTGGTTCTCAGCGTATTGTTACTGTTTTGTTTAGTGACTAATCTGGAATAATTATCCCAAATATTTTTCTCGATCAAATTTTATACGCCAACTTTCTTTGCAGTATTTTATATGTCTTTTATATCTCTTATCTTTCAAGGTATTAAGTTAGACAGCCTGGGAAACCTTCATATCATCTATGAATTTTATATATTTCGTTCACTATATAAGCTTTTATGTGAGTCGGTGGCACACCTGTAGAATGCTCACCAACCACTCCTCATGTGGTTCAGGGTTCGGTCCCCAGCCGACGCACTTTTTACTTCGCTAAGCCAGTAGTAAGACTGGTAAAGAGGGAAGGTTTAGTATGAGGCAAGCAACCCCACTTCGTAAAAATAAATACCACTGCTACCGAAACTTCAAAGCTGTAGCTTAAAACCCTACTTTCCACTGGAGACGTAAAGGAATAAAATAAATAGGCCCTTGCAAACCAAAGATGGGAAACACCATGGAATTAGTTGAATTCATCTCACTGTGTGTGTTGTGAATCATTCGAATAAGAACTAAAGCCAAGATTTTTGCAGTCTTCTAGTCTTACATGTCAAATGCAAACTATTAGGTATATTTTGACACAAAACTCTTTTCACATATATCCATCAGTGTATATGAATATACTTATACACGGGAAGAGAATTTGCAAATACCAAAATAATCCAATACAGAAAAGTACAAATATTTATTATTAAAATAGACAGATCAAACGACAAAATCGACAAAACACATGAATAAAGTAGTTTGACATATAATCCAAAGTAGCAAGTCGAAATTTGAATCGATCGAGAAAACAAAACAAAATAATAGCTCCATATAGTCATGTTCATCTACAAATAAAGATAGGACACATGGTGAAATTATATATTTGTTACAGGACATCATCATGAGCTGACATTAGTTAGAGAACCATAGAAAAACCTGGCAGTAGTGGACAGCTGTTCCGTCAGCCTAGTTTGGGACTCTTCAACAGTACGCACCCACCGGGATTCGAACTCACAGCCTTCAACATGTGGTGCACAAGCAAAGTTAAATGAGTGAGTGGTTAGTCAGAACTCGATTACTCTGAACAGATTTTCCATGCACCAGGCTACCAGCCACACTTATTGTCTGAGAACTGATGACACTATATGAAGTAGATGAAATGAGCAGATGTCAGCTACTTAAGTTGATAAGCCTTTTGTCCACAATGTTAACCGAAGTTGAGTCATTTTATGTGGAAACTGAAGGTTACTACACTTAAATATAACTCGAATTCATCAAATCGTTGTTTATTACTAGGTGAAGGTGCTAAAATTAAGCGAATAAAACTCAATGGTACTGCTCAATACTTATCACAGTGCACAGATATATGGATACTTTGTCACTACATAAGCTTCTAAAACTTTTATGAACTCAGATTCCAATTACTTCCTTCTAATCTTATAATCACTTACGGTTCTACTAGTATTTACTGTCTTTTGTATGCTGATTCATATACGGCAACTTTAACCAATGTGGATCTGTTCATTAAAATCTCAAAGAAGCAGAACATTCCACAAACTGACATCTAGTAAACAGGTTAGAAATTACCGTAAAATTTAAAAGTAAAATGGAATAAAACCATCTGAAATCGAAGGAAAAACCATGCTGAGACAAAAATGAATAAATTCTGTCTTTCCTCTCTTAGAGTATATACATATAACTAATTAATATGTAGACCGTTTACTGATGTATGCATGTATATATACTTCCTGAACCAAACTCATAGATACTCTTCAGTCCTTTCAACTAAGTCCTGGAACACTTCATCGAATGCTGCTGTCAGACAGTGAACAACTGAAGGAGAACCATTTTGCATTAAAAAATGGATCTATTTGAATAAACACTAGACATTTCCGTCTTCAATACATATATATTCCACGTCAATATTGTCAGGTGACTGATTTTTCAGAATACTACTTTAATTATTCCAAAACTCATCACCATTTCATTTTCAATAGTTAGTTTGTAGGCATTTGATTTGTTTTAAGTTTGATAACGGATTGATGTCGGTCAAAGAATCTCTGAAAACCAAGAAGTACGGGACAGCTGTTTTGTCCTAGATTAGGACTCATTGGAAGTACTCACCCGATGGAATTCGAATCCACGACCATCCAGTTACGAAAAAAAGCTCGCAGACCACTCAGTTTTACTGCTTACTGTCTAGAAACAATATAAAGGGTCGAAGTATTTGCCTTAATTCTACATCGTACTAGATAGGAACCTTCCCAGTTTTGGTTTCAGATTTTCAGCAGTGTAATACTCCCACTAAACGCTCCAGTTTCCATACTTTAGCATTATCACTGACAGAATTCAGTCATCACCAAAGAAAAGACTAAACGTATGACACTGGTTATTGCCTAGTGTTCAATCAAAGTATCCAGTGCAGTCCCGTAGGAAGCCAATCGTGCCCCCTCCCCGAATACCTCAGTGGTAACTTCTCTGACTGCAGAACTAGTTGACGCAGGTTCGAATCTTACAAGGGATATGTGAGGTCGCAGATACGCCTTGCCGACTGGTGAGTGCCGACTAGCACGAAACCTAGGTCCAAGGCTTCCTGCAAATTACTTCTAACCACCTAATAACGATAATCCAGGGTGGTGCCGTGGTGGTGAGTCACCTAGCAAGGTGGCCACATTGCAGACTTGACTGCAGGAATTCAGTCTGCACCAAACACAAAGAACTAGAAGCATGACACTAGAAACAATCTAGTGTTCAGTCAAAGTGTGTCTCAGTTTGCAAACTGGAGTCGATGTAGAAATATAAAACTCCGGACTTAACAAAACACTTCTAAGCGACTCAGTTTATCTTATCAGCTGGCGATAAATCAATTTTTTTGGTAAAAACTGGTTGCATTAATACCAATTATTGAACTTGAACTGAGTGAAGTAAAAGTATTTTTATTAAAAACATTGAAATGAAAGATAAATATTGTTTCAGTCACAACTATAACACAATGATATGTGTAAATTAAAGAAACTTTGATATCTTCTTGCGAAACCAGATTCATGTGATATAATAGTGTAATACTGTTTTAATAGTTGCATTTATAAAATTAACAAGACATAATTTCTGTTCACTGGTTAGAATGAACCTTAACTACAAATATTTGTTTTTTATTCCTTCACGTTCCCGGTGGAAAATAGGGATTCACGCTAGAGTCTTGAAGCTTTTGTAGCAGCGTTTATCTTTCACAGGATAGGGTTGCTAGCCTCATGCCCAACCTTTCCTCTTCACCAGCTTTTTATTTCTACCTTAGTGAGGTAAAGGAGTGCGTCCAGTGGCCGGGGATCGAACCCCGGATCATACGCATGGTCGGCGAGCGTCCATACCGCTATGCCACTGACGCAAAAATGGGATGCTAAAATGTCTCACAACATTCATTCTAGACATCTTAATCCTATGCAATAAATGATGTCCATAGATTAGGTATAGGCGTGAACTATTTAAAAACTTTACATTTTACAATATTACTGCTAAAAGCTAGACACTCGACTTTGAATCCTTGCTAACTTTGTTTATTCAAATCAGATTAATAAATTACATTGAAAATAAAATCTTTCAAGTGGCAGAAATGTCGGATGACGTATCTATGACTTGATGATAAACGTATGTAGACGTCAACAGTTTACTTCATCACTGAGTATTATACAAACTGTACTTTGAAGTACATCTGTTCTCATTTGTTCTCATATTAAAAACATAAAAACACTAAAACAACGAATAGTTCAAAACATTAAAAAATACCTGATAAGAAGAAAGACATTATGAGCATTTATGCTCAATGGTAATAGCTTACACACTTCATGAATACACATCAGATGGAAAGAATAGAATTCACCGCACACACGAAAAAACAGTAGAATTTCAGAGACCGTTATAAGACAACAAATAAAAAAGATAAAATGATATTGTAACAAAAATGAGGCAAACATTTAAGTGTTTTCCTGTCATCATTACAGTTTCTGCATGAATTACTTCATAGCCTTTGAGTTTCTGAGTGTAAGCTTTTCGAGGGATGTTTAACATGACTGACATCCTTTTGAATAAAAAAGTCTAACAGTGACGCTGAAGTACTGTTCCTCTCCCTGGTCATACAACACACCCTATAACAGACGCTGATAGGTTTATCTCTCTTGGAGAGTCTGGTAAACAGTGGGCTTACTTCAGTATACTTACGACCAAGAATGAAACCTGATTTCTCCTTTAAAGTTTGTCACCCTCTAATTCTAACTGGTGACAGGGTAATTAAGGATCCAAGAGTATTAAAAACTCCATCGTGGTCCACATACTTATCACTGAAGGATTTCGCTCTTTTCTTCAAGACTAGAATTTTGAGGCCATTTGGAAAGAATTATGTCCGGCTGTCCTACAAGACTTGAAATCTCAGTTCACTTAACTTAAAATTATTAGGCCACTGCAACTGAGTATCTCCGAAATTTGTCCATCAACCATAGTTCCGGTTTCAAGTCGCTTACAGGTTTTTTAACTACTGCAAATGTTGTATAGTCAGATAGCGACTCCATGGTACCTTAAGTTTGAACGGCTTCTCAAAGTACTTAGTTTGCCACAGTTCCTCAGTAAACCACCAACCTATCGTTTGACTCAACCAATATTTGTTCACTATTTCTTGTCTTTTCTTAGTAACACTTGAACAACTCAACTTAGATGAAGAAAATAACCACAATCCATTTTAACTGGGAAACAACCTGTAGGCGATACCTACTTTTACTAATTTAAACCCACCTGAAACGATCGAACCGTTTAAGATGTGAAGAAACCATAAGATCGTGCTTTTAAAATATCTTTCTGTCTTGCTTACTACCCATAAATCCTATAGTAAACATAGCATAAGCTATATAGACGTTACAAGTGTGAGTTACACCATTCTCATACCTCGCTTAAATGACTGTAGATGGTTTTCTATGGTCTTGATAGACGTATAGAAGCCATTTGCATGCTAAATTGGTTGGCAGGGACAACGATTTCACTGAATTTGTTGGCTGCTGGTTTCGTTTATAGGGACTTGTGTTCATTATAGCGTCCCTACGAGTGATACTCTTGCCTATAATAAAGCGTATGCTTGGTCTTATATGCGAGATGAGTTCTACTGTACTTGTCTACGAAGTGCATAATTGATTTACACGATCATTTATCGGCGTAAGTACGCTTACCTATGCATTACTGTGTTTGGTAACTGTGCGAATGGTCCATGAAGAGAGAGAACTCTTGAGTGGTTGCCCCACAGGATGACACTGCATGCCGGTTTCATCTCTCAAGAGGCAGGGATAGGTTTGTTCGGTTCTCCTGAAAACCAGTACCCACTCAGAGTATATCATTATGGGAATAAACTGGCTGATCCTGCCAGTAGTCATATGCTTGTCTCAAAGATTAAGCCATGCATGTACAAGTACAAACCTTAAAACGGTGAAACTACGAATGGCTCATTAAATCACCTATGATTCCTTAGATTATATATACTACATGGATAACTCTAGTAATCCTAGACCTAATAAATGCAAATATACCCTTTGTGTGCATCGGTGGCACAGAGATAGAGTGCTCGCCAATCACGCATGTGGTCCTGGGTTCGATCTCCAGCTGACGTACTCTTTTACCTCGCTAAGCCAGTAATAAGACTGGTAAAGACGGAAGGCTGGGCATGAAGCGAGCAACCGCATTCCGTAAAAATAAACACCACTGATACCGAAACTTCAAAGATGTAGCTTGAAGTCGTATGTTCCACCGGGAACGTAAAGGAATAGAACATACAACTAATTTAGTCACAGGGCATTATGATTTAGTAAAAATGCACTTGGTTTAATTTTGAGCTATTAAGGGTTTCACTTCCCAAAAGTCATTATTAATTTAAAATAAAACATTTCACCGACAAACCAAAAGACCATGAAATATCAACATATGTTAAATAAAGTGAACATTACCAGTTGGTGTATCATTTTAGCGTCCTACACTTGAATCTCAGATAATCATGGAAAAAATCAACGGGAGGATATTCCGGTCAACACATCCACAAGATAGAACAATGTGAACATAAACAAAATGGTTGCTGAATGATACCTAGTGCCATTTTGGAATGATAGCATAAATGTATAACTGAGGTGGACGTTTTCAGGGCCACTATGGCTTCATTGAGAAACTTTCAACATTCGTTTAGAGAACATCTTTGGGGTTACTGCCACAATGAAGTTGCAATTTAGAAGGGCAGTGAAAATTTCTTAATTATACCCTCTAACTCACAGAAAACAAAAATACCGCAAAATACGCAACTGTGTTTAATCTGCTGTACAGTGTCGTGTTGAAGCTAATCAACGTGACCGTTTTGCTCAGTGTAGTGCCTTGTAACTTGACGCTAAATATTAAGGGTGTTCAACTGATAAGGAACTCTGTGGCAGGGTTTGAGCTTGCTGGAACTCCTTGGTATGTCATATTTGCAAGCATACGGACATTAGTATTTCTTTTGAATTGGGAATAGTCATCGCTTATGTTTAGAATTGCTTGGCGGTAATGTCTCTGTCTTTGATAATGATTACATTGGGCTGAATATCAAAAGGACAGGAACTGTAGAAACGTTCCATTGTTAACGATTAGCGCTCACTGGGGGGAGGAGGGTATTTTCATCGTGGGTTATATCGATTGACACCAAACATTTCATTACTCCAACAATAGTTAGCTATTTAATTGAATTTTAGGGTTCGAGCCTAGGTGGAAACATCATCACTCACTGGGAATGCATGTACATCCAGATGACGAATCCCAAATAAGACGAAATGCACATCAGGAATTCCACTGCTAGTCACCATCTACCAATCAAATTCTAATAGTTAGCTATTATCTACTACCAATGGGAGAGGAATTTCACTAAACAGATCAACACATCATATCAAGTTAGGGATTTTAATGCATAAGATGGTTAAATAATAATGAAATTATATCAGAAGAAATGCAAAAGCACGCAAAGAAGAGGGTTAGAAAGCAATAAAAATGCTATACACTGGATTCACAGTCGAACTTTGAGCACACAGTGATAAAGATTATGACATTCACTTCAGGAAATCAATAAAACTGGTCTATGTATATCAATACATATAGTTTAACTAGTAACTGTTTTAGGCTTACCAAGGCTGAATACCCTCTAGATCCTCAAACCAAGGTATCTGATGCTGTAATTCTTTTACCAGAAAAGCTACTGGCATCCCGTGAATATTTCCAGTATTTGAATTAAGCGGTGTATTTATATCACCATGGGCATCAACCCATAGTACACAAACATCAGGTTTAGCTTTTGCATGTCCAAGAATTGTACCAGTCGCCATACTATGATCACCACCGACAATCACCAAAGGTGATGGTTTTGATCCACTTGACTCATTTCTTGTAGAAGTTTTTAATATTTGTTCTACACGTTCAGCTATTTTCACAGTAGTCGATGTAAAACTTCTTGACCATTTCATTCCAAATCGTTTTGGATCTTCAGCTTCAGAAAATTCAACCGGTTTAACGTCACCACAATCTGTGATTTTGATTCCTGAAGGTGTTTAGATGTACACAAATCAAAACTGTACGAGTTATATGTGGACAGTTCTCAAATAAACAGAAATACACTAAAAAAACTACAGGAAGGATTTTGTCAAAGCTTTCCGTAAAATTACACTTGGTTACGAAACTATAGACAGTTACCTTGTGTATTAAAAACCGACACATTTTTCACTTGAAAGAAAGGTGAATTTTAAGAATAAAATAAACCAATCGTCAATGAAATATTTTTGTAAATTGAGTTTACTACAGAGACAATGTTTTCGGATGTTGATTCCTGTGTCTCTGGAAATTCGAGTTAATACAAATAAACACAAAATGTTTCCATGAAATGGTTTATTGCTCGACGGAGATCTAATCGATCTATACCGCTCATTAATGTGGTTATACTAGAATGCACAAAATTTTCATGGTCACCATTTCAAATTTGATTCGATTATTACAAAGTTTAAAGTCCCTTCATTAATCTTTTTTTCATCAAACATGAACTGTATTTTCGGAAAGTTGTTAACAACTTTACATTAGTCATAAACGTTTTTCCAAACTAAATGACACAAATACAAATAGAGGTTTTTTTAAAGTTTGTGATACGCTTTCCACTTATCTGCTTGATATATCAGTTCGATTTTAATCTTAGGGTTCTTGGTATGACTGAGTTTGAATAAAGCACTCACCCACCCACACACACACACTGAGCTTTTTTTTAAGTTTTATTGATCATTTAACCACAAACCATTTAGTATGTGGATTTTCCTTGAAATAACTGACATCGATTGCTTTTACACCGTTTCATCCATCATACCTTCACTATAAATTTACCAAAAGTAGTTAAAGCAAACATTTGTAATCTTTGTCAGAATTTTCGTTTGTAATTTTCGTTTCACCTGCAGTCACCAACACTGATTAAAACGCATTAGTTTTCCAATAAACTAATCACCTAGAATGCATTTTCGTCATAGCAGAGTTTAAATTAGTGGAGATTAGGTAAACAACCAGGCTTCTTACTTGAGCTCTAAGTGGCCGACCGATAGCTGCTACCTTGACGTGGTGGTCTGACTTGCATATCGCAATGACCGAAGAAGCTACACTGGCTGGAACTATTGTTCCTGCAGGTCCTACCTTGCCAGAAAGGCTGTTAGGATAGCGATTAAACTAAAAGCACTTACCGGCATAGTGTAAGAATCTTTCTTACAGTATGCTGGGGGTCTGAGGGCGAAGTTGTACTGCTGGGGAACAGGGATGTAACAGCAGTGAGGTGTTTCCCTCAGATGACCAGCATGCCAGCTACACTGTCTCTCCACTCCGGAAGGAGCGGGTTAGAAAAGGCTGGCAATTGTACATCCCAACTTACCCTATGGTGGTCCGTAGCCGGTGGTAAATTCACTAATACGGAGCCAAACCAAAAAGCCAGTTCAGACAGACCGTGTGTGACCGGCCTCAAGCAGTTGTCCCCTGGGCTCTACGGTCACGCAACACTAACCCTCTTTCTGTTTCAGGTACCCGAAGAATCAACCAACTTCCACGGTGTGGGCAGCTGGGAAGTAACAACCGCCCACACACTTCCAAAAGCTCTAAGGGGCTAAAGTGATATATAAATATTCAGCCAATGAATTCTATATCTTCGTCTGTTTAGAGTTACAAGAGTGACTCAAAGGAAAATAATTTGAATTTTGCATTATCCAACCTTTTACTTCAATTCTCATCATCATTCTGTGGTAGTAAATTTAGGTTGTCAAATTTAAATTATCGCAGACGGTCTAAACAACATCGAAAACCCGCTTATTCTTATATTAAATAACAAGTGTTATACTTAGTTGATACAGTGGATATCTTTACGTCATAAAGCAAATTTATTTGATGAAATCATACAGTTCCATTCTTAATATATCAGTGGATATTCTTAATTTGAATTAATTTATGTTCACTGAAGGTTGAAAATAATTTAAACAAACGTCAGCACATATATACACACACCCTTTATTTACAATAATGAATATCAAACAAACATTTTCATTATGAAACACTCAACTTATTTTGTACTAAACATCAATCCACCTATTACTTGTTAAAATTTTAAAATGTTTTGAAGCGCAAAATTAGATAAATCTCTTTTTTCATTCCTTTAGGTCCCCAGTGGAACGTAGGGCTTCAAGCTAGAGGCATGAAGTTTCGGTAGCAGTGGTATTTATTTTTACTGGGTGGGGTTGCTAGCCTCATGCCCAACCTTCCCTCTTCACCATTGTTATTACTGGCTTAGCGAGATAAGGGAGTGCGTCAGGTGGAGGTCGATCCCTGAACCACATGAGGCGTGGTTGGCGAGCATTCTACCACTGTGCCACCAACGCGCACATATAAATCTCGTGTCCTTCGAAAAGAAAAGCTTTCAGCAGTAATTCGTTTATAAATTAGACGAACACAGTATTTTTTGAAATTAACCTAGTGTTAACTTAGTATTCTGAAGTCCATCTGGATTGGCAAAACATGTGGACCAGTTTTAAGGTGTATTCATTGACAGTCAATCGATACGAATGGCCAATTCATGAATTTTTCAGTTTATGAAACTATTATCTTTATACATAATTTATTCAACTATTGTTTCTCAAGTAATACAGGTAACAGGATTTCATCATTAGCTGACATCGCTTAGATGGCCATTAGAAAACCCGCTGGGACAGCTGTTTTGTCAGGCTGGTTTGGGACTCTTCATCAGTACGCACCTACAACCAGGGTTCGAACCCAGGACCTTCTGGTTACAAGGCCAGTGAGCTTGTAGATCATTAATACAGGTAACATTTTGTTTAGATTCATTCCATTATGATAATTAGTTTGTCTAAAAGTTGCCTTTTCAGTTATAATTCTGAAAGTTAAATGTTTAACACTGTATCATTTGATGTGTTTTGTTGAGTAAAATCATTCTGAATGGTAAGCAGTTCGATATTTTTATGCTCTGAGTATTATTGACTGATCAAGAAATACACCTTGAAACATTAGGTCCGAATTAAATAACTAGTATAGACACGAAAGCTGATTCAAAATTGCAGTTTGGAGGCGTTTGTAATAAACAGATGGTTTGTATATTGATCAGTTTTATGCTAAAGGTGCATTGGTTGAATGTTCTTGACTAACTGTAGCCAAGCAGTTTTAGTATTATGAACACACTTGAGTATCGGTTATTTTCGCCACACTAATTTAGTTTGAAAGCGTTAACATTCTGACATTTCAGTTCTCTGCTATAGTCAACCTGTGAAAAAATTCTATAAACTTTTGAGTGACTAGTAAATTAAAAAAAATACAAAGTTTTTCTCCCACACCGTGACTGTATCAACTCGTAATCTTTTATTAAGTTCAAATATAATCTACGTAAATAAGTTGAAGTGAATTTAGGCATGCAATAAGTGTTTTATAAAGAAGGGAGAAAATAACACGCTAAACCTTTTGATAACTTACCATCTTGTGCAACACGTTCAAAAAAATCAGATTTTCTTATAAGTTCAGGCCCTTGATATGTACCAAGTTTTGGTTGCCCTCTATTTACAGGTATTCCCAAGAAATTAGCATGTGTATATAACAGTTTAGCTGTTCCTTCATCTTGAATTGGTAAATACGGAGCTAGAAGAAGAAACAGTTAACATAAAGCTAAATGATCAATGTATCTGATTCAATTTTTGATAAGTTTACAAACTATCTGCTATAAACATGGTCTCTATACCACATTCCAGAGACACAAGGTGTATTTTGTGTCAGTAACGTGAGTGATGAAAAACCCGTAATATACGAATTTTTATTTATCAGAGTAACTACAGAGGTAATTTGTGCCTTAACATGAAAGATAGGTGTTTAAACAATGGCACTTAATTTCGAAAGGAGAAATTTTGAAGAAAAATCTAAATATTTTTAGGATTGTATTCTCCTAATATGACCAGGGGACTGCGTCTGACAACATTAGATTTCAAGGCAGGATGGTTTTCATTTGGTCACTCATCAACCACTATTGATTATGTAATGGGAATTAATCATCATGTCGTCACTTCCAAATCTCCATATCACTGAGTTTTCATACTACACGTTCGAATACGCATTCAGTTGTATGCAATACCATAAGTCTGTATTTTATGTTTTAATGTCTAACGTACAAGGTAAGTTATCATTTTTCTGCCGTAATTGTAAACTTTACCTATACGATAGCTTACTTAAAAAAGGATCCACCGTGGAGGAAATCTTCTGGATTAGCATCAGTTTAGTTTTACACATGTGTGAAGAGAATATGAACTACAATACTTTCTGTCTGTAGAAAATAATATAAGTGGATCAAAACTAAGTCAGTTAAATTGTACATTTGTGGTGAATTTTGATAAGGGTTACAATGTAAAGCGAGGGAATTTCTGAAGATAATATGACAAGCAATTTTTTATGAATTTCATTGACCTTCCTTCATAGAAATAACAGATTACTGCAAATTACATCATTAAATTCAAAATTATTTATTACTTTCATGGAAATTCTTCTTTGTCTTAGTGATCTGAAAAGAAGCCCCCTAGTGTTGAACATTATACAAGTGAAATGAACTGAATTTTTACTAGAGAGCTTTCTACAAAAATGCAGCATTTCAAGTAGCACACTGTGAAAGTAAAGAAAAGGACAAAAGCGAAGTAACTATGATAAACAGAAATGCATGGAAGGAGAGATAACTACACGAAGAATACTGAGAACTTGTTATAACCACTTCAGTGTGTAATTATGAGTAATAATTTGTGCTTTAAACGTTATCTGCAAATAATACTGAATCGCTGTTTTTTTTTTTGTCAAATTAAGTTATTCTACAATGGAACATTTCAAGTTATTATGTATCAAAATACGGATTAATTCTCCAGCTATGCAGACAATTCGGCTAAACAATCTGTAAGGTTTTGTATAACAGAAGATAAAGTACCACAATCTTCGAATGGACACTAGTAACTAGTGTGATGTGTCTAGTCCTTTATTTACTGCACACTGAATTCTATCATTCACGTTGACAATGTGTCCACCATTCTAAGGGGCTCACCATCACAGTGCACATTGATTTGATGATTTTAGACAGTTGGAGGCAATCGGCAGGAAACCTTGGACCTAGGTTTAGTGCTAGTTGGCAAAGTATCCACTACAGTCCTACAGGAGGTCAATCGCGGGTCTGAATATCTCAGTGGTAACATCTCTGACTGCAGCACTGGATGATATAGGTTCGAATCTTCTCAGAAGGGACATGAGTTCTTTCAAGGGTGAGATACACCCTGCTGATGAGTGCCAACTAGAACGAAACCTAGGTTGAAGGCTTCCTGCCTAGTGCCTCCAACCATGTAATACCATCGTACCACTTTCTTATCGAACAGTGTTGCTGTTTTGAACGTGGTGAACAAATAGTGAGACATTTATAAAAGTTATACTCCTCTCAGATCAACAGTGAGCTCTTAGATAGTTTCACTGGAACTATATGTTCACAATAATGAGATTACTTTCCTACATGTTTACAGTTAGAATCGAACTGTTATCCGTTGAACGCGAGTGTACTTATAAGTAGATTTTAATAGTCACAAACTATTGGCACATCTGTCTTCAAATTACATGCTGATATTCAGTACAAGATATAGGTTATACTAATGTCTTTTCATCCCACTGTAACATCAAATAAGTATAAAATTGAATTTTGGTCCACAGTGTATTTCACAAGGCAGTCAGAGGCAGGATCGGATCAGGAAAACGAAACACGTGTTCATCACTCTGAAATCATTGTGGAGATCTACAATATTCAACATAAGGAACAAGGCCCAAATTTTAAACACTAGTGTCTAGTCAGTCAGTGCTTCTATATGTTTCAAAATCTTGGCAAATCTGTCATTGAAGGCATTTCCAACAGGCTGTAGGTATTCATCAGCAAGTCTCCTTTACTGGTTGGATGCCGAATATCAAGTGCCTAGCCAGAAAGGATATGCAACAGGAAACACTAACAAGCAATCATCCAACCGGCAAATTACTCCCCAACAAATGAAGATGAATCGTATATACACTAAGGAGACCATTGAGTGACACCACATGAAAGATAGACCGTCGAATGGAAGCCGAAAGGGAAGCAAACCGATGACTATGAGTCTGAGGATGAAATGGGGAAGGTCATGCGATTAGGAGGTCACTGCTAGCAAGTCGTCACGGAGCCATCTGAAAGCGACGGCAGAGAATAGAGTGGAAGAATCTAGATTGTGCTGTTGAAGCCGTATACTCCCATTAGGAATATAAGGAACGAATAATAACAACCTGTTCAACTAATCAGCTTTTTATGTAACCCAGTTAGTAATGACATTCTTAGTTAAAACATAAATTTCCAAATTAATACAAAACCTTGGTGACTTGTTAGCATATATTAAAATACGCAAATATCGTACTTCTCTATCGAGTTTCTACCAGTTTACTGAAATCCCATCAAACTGGAAAAGCCTGTGTAACAAAGAAATTTGAGATTAAATTACACTTTTTTGCTGTTTATAGATTATACCATATTATCTTCATAAAATAATGAGTAAATTTACCATGTTTTTACTATCTAATTCCTAAGCAGATTTATACAGAAAATGATCGATCCAATACACTCATAAAAGTAATATATATGGAATAATACTGTAACTTCGAATTCGTTGACATTCTGCTACAACTTTAAAAAAATATAATATGTACTTTGATTGGACACTAGTAACTAGTATGAGGTGTCTAGTCCTTTGTTTACTGCACACTGAATTCTATCAGTCAAGTTTTCAATGTTACCACCATGCTAGGTAGCTCGCCATCACAGTGCACATTGATTTGATGATATTAGATAGTTGGAGGCAATCGGGAGGAAGCCTTCGACCTACGTTTCGCGCTAACTGGTACTCACCAGTCAACAAGGTGCATCTGCAACCTGGAAGGAAATCGTGTTCCTTCTGAACTTCCAACCAGAGTCACTCACCGACCCAGTGCTACATTTAGAGACGTTATCATTGAGCTATTCAGGAGGTCAGTCGCGAGCCTGAATAGCTCAATGATAACGTCTCTAAATGTAGCACTGGGTCGGTGAGTGACACTGGTTGGAAGTTCAGAAGGAACATGATTTCTTTCAAGGTTGTAGATGCGCCTTGCTGACTGGTGAGTACCAGTTAGCACGAAACGTAGGTCAAAGGCTTCCTTCCGATTGCCTCCAACTATCTAATATAATATGTAGTTGATAACTACTAAAAAAATGAATTTTGCAATTTATTATCATATATAATTGAAAAGATAAAATTATCATATTAACGAAACATAATTCTCCTACAAGTTCTAATGAATAAGTTACTCCTTTCTTCCCTCAACGAATAATTATTTTATTTATCCTTTATTTTATCAAGTAATTTGAATATAACAGGTAAATTACTCACTTGCAATTGACTTCAACATTTTTCACAGTAAAGAAAAAATTATCCACTGAATTAATAATGTGCAAAAGTAGAAGTATAGATATACTTTGGAAATAAATTTGTAATTTATCAATGATTGGTCGATGCTTCAAGGTCGCAGTGTATTATTATTATCTGTCATTTGATAATTAAAATGCCAGTCAGCTTGGACCACAAATGTGTTAAAGTGTTAAAAATAAAAATACAATACACTTAATAATAAACATTAAAAAAAAACATGGAATCAATCCCATGACAGTGTCTTACGGAACCTTACAACAACATTTTTTCCAGTATAAAGTCAAATGATACCAATTTAAGAGGTTTTTTTTACAAAAGGTTCCAACATGTATTCGGTGTATAAGTTAAATTGGTTTGATTGGACATTAAATCTGAGAATTAAAATAATAATAACAGTCTAATTTGATGTCACGTTGAACATATTAACGGATGTATGTATCTGCGAATTGATATCACTTGTATGCGCTACTTTTTATCTGTCAAAATTTTTAAAAAAATGTATATTATTATGAGTGATTGAAAATAATTTCTGGTAAAAAAAAACAACAACAGATTTTCTGACTGAATGACTATAAATTGATACAAAGGTGTGGTTAAGTTTGAATAAAATGATGAAACATTAAAGGTTCTGAACTAGAAGACTGTGAGTAGTAAACAGACCCACGTGGGTCATTAGCTAATTTCAATAACAAAATAAAGGCATATCCTGTTATCTTGTCCAGTGTATGATATTGTACTTTCTCTGATTGATGTAATTCAGTAGTATGTATTTCAGTGAAATGAACTGAACATTCAAACGAGTATAATTATAGACATACACCTCCCTTTGAATTCCGAATGGACCATAAAGAAGGCTTCAAGCATGAGCTTCGAAGTTGTGGTAACAATGGTTTCACTTTAACGGGGTAGGGTTACTAGTCTCAGGCCAAGCCTTCCCTCTCTGTAGGACATACTAACGGCTTCGTGAGGTTTAGGAGCTCGTCGACCAGAGGTCGAACCCCGGATCACATGTATGGTTGGCGAGCATTCTGTCGATGAACCACCAACTCATCCCAACTAATATAATTATCTGGAATAAGACTTTGAATCAATAAATTAACTTAAATTATTCAAGTATTGGTTTGTAGGGATTTGATTGATTGGTTACAGGATTTCATCATGAGCTGACATTGGTTAGAGAACCATTGGAAAACAAGCTAAGCAAGTACTGGGCAGCTTTTTCGTCAGCCTAGTCCGGGAATCTTCATCATTACGCACCCATCGTAGTTCTAACTTAAATTAGCTAAGATGGCTTGCTTATTTGTTGAAAACAGACATGTGTACATTGTGATATCTTGTGAAGTTGTTTTACTCAGAGAGCTTGAGAGAGACAGATTGTGAAATTACATCGACTGAGATGGTTAGGACATGTGTTACATATGCCTAGTCATCACCTTCCTCGACAATGGGCAATGTTAGGTGATATAGGGTCAGGTTGGAAAAGAACTAGTGGCGGTCAAACGAAAACATGGCACCAGTCAATGAAATCTACAACAGTTAGTCTAAGCCACGTAGGGAGGTGCAGACTTCCTGGTTAGGGTCCTCGGGACGGTAAAAACCAATGGTTGGAAACAATTGGTGACATGGCTCAAAATAGTTCTCAATGGCTGGTGCAGATGCATCCACTCCTTGTGACTTATGATTTCCAATGAAACTGTTTTGTTCTTCGTTATTACTATTCCTTTGTCTCACACCTCTGTTTACTGACTATATTATGCATTTCTTCTACTTTCTTCTCTTGCTTTGTGTGCTACAAGGAGGGAGTGTGGCGACTTGAACTGCTGCACATCAGTGCAAAGTTCTATGTCGAAAACAGACAGACAGACAGAGAGCTTTAAATGCCAAATAATATAAAATAATCGCCTTGTATACATAGTTACTGAGATGTTTTAGATTCAGCGGATAGAACTTTCTTCCGCTTTGCCTAATATTCAAAGGACTAGAGTTATAACTGGCGGAAATTAGCTAACGCAGTTCACCGTATACTATGTACTGAGGAGAATTTCTCCTATGCATTACTCTGTACTATTAACATTAACAGGACGAAAATTACTACATAGGTTAATTATCAAAGATTTGACATCCGTCATGCTTAACTTACTATCCTTAAAAAAATGAAGACAAAAGTTTGTCAGAAATAGGAAAAGTTTTTAAGCTTAAGTTTTTGAATTTAATTAATTTACTCCTCTGTTTGTTCTTTAAAGTATAGAAAAATACTTACTTCACATGAAGGGAAAAGACATAAGTTGACGAAGAATATTCTTTTCATCGCTTCACTTCAAAGCTGTACAGTTATAGTGTCATAAAAGGTCAGGGATTGCCGATAACGTCAATTAATCATATGAGTTGGTAACAAAGCATATGATTGAACATATCAGACAAAATAATAAACTACGTAATCTAAAACCAGTAAGTGATGAGTATCTCTCAGAAATGATCACCATAAAAAAATATGTCAGTGTCTCGTTTTCTATTGTTTCAACGTTTTTATAAGTGACACAATTGCTGTCATCTTAAATTTTCTGCAGCTGATGTTAATAATATTAGGAACCACCTTAGAATCACACTAGACATCTATCACCCTCTGTTCTAATAGTCTTTCTGTTATAATTTATTGAATATATTTGGCTTTTTCAAAGTAACTTGATTACTACTGAATATGTGGAGATTCTGTGCTCCATCAATCAAATGAATGATAATGAAATTCGACAGAACGTACAGTTAAGTAAGTAAGTAATTAAAGTTGATTAAAGATGCATAAATTATAATAGTAACAGAAATATAAAAGCAAACAAAATGTCAACTAAAATTAAGGGAATTTCCAGAACAAATTGAGGATCATTGGAATCTAGATGGCCAAGGTAATAATAGTGTCTAAACCGGCTTCTTTTGAACCCATAAGTTAGCCTTCCTAATGTGGATCCCAATGGCCTCAGCAATATGTAGTAGACGAACTCTTAAGATGAAGTGAAGATTAGTTGGTATGTTGTAAATGACTCTGAAAACCTCTTTAACATCAATCTTGTGTTCTGTATCCACAAGATGAGACAGAATAGCGCCATGAATAGATTTTGTTTGTCCTTTACTTAGCCACTCAGGACTATGTTTAGAAATCCGACGATAAACACGCCTAATTTTACGACTTATGTAACTGGCTCCATAGGAGCAGTTAAAGTGATAGATACACTTGGAAGAGGCGAAATTAGGCAATTTATCTTTTACTCCCGAACGCAAAAGACGAGTGGTTTTAAAGATACAGCGTAATTCAGCAGCAGGGAATGCTCCTTTTACCGCATTTCTAAGGCGTTGTGTTAGCATCTCGCTGATGTTGTCTCTGAGGAACTGAATTTGTAATAATACGGCTTTTTTAGGAACTGTTGGTACCTTGGACTGCTTTGACTTTAGATTCATATTCTTATCAATAAACTTTTCTGGATAACCATTTTCACTTACCAACCGTTTCATATTCTTAAGTTCCTCATCAAGACATTCATCCGAGCCGATTGCTCTTGCTCTGTGAACCAAGCACTTTATCAGATTGCGTTTGTATTTCAAGGGCACAAAGCTGAAAAGAATGAGTATACTGACCCGTTAATGTAGATTTTCTACATACAATTCTTCTTACTGTGCCATCCTCTTTTCTGGTCATAAGGATGTCTAGAAATGAAATACTAGAGTCTTTTTCTTTGTGAATAGTAAAATTTATTGCAGGATGAACCTCGTTAAATTTATCCAGGATGTTCTTTTCTTCCTCTTCATTTTTCATAGTCAAAAATGTATCAACCATGTGCCGACAATAGAATTCAAGTTCTTCAATAACATCTTTCACAGGCCCATTTTCTAGTTTCGCAAGGAAACTGCCGGCTAGAATGGGTTCTAGTGTTGACCCCATTGCCACACCCTCGATTTGTCTATATAGTTCCGTATCCACAAGATGAGACAGAAAACGCTATGAATGGATTTAGTTTGTCCTTTACTCAACATAAGATTGATGTTAAAGAGGTTTTCAGAGTCATTTACAACATACCAACTAATCTTCACTTCATCTTAAGAGTTCGTCTACTACATATTGCTGAGGCCATTGGGATCCACATTAGGAAGGCTAACTTATGGGTTCAAAAGAAGCCGGTTTAGACACTATTATTACCTTGGCCATCTAGATTCCAATGATCCTCAATTTGTTCTGGAAATTCCCTTAATTTTAGTTGATATTATGTTTGCTATTATATATTTATTATTATAACTTATGCATCTTTAAAAAACGTACCGTTGTTAAATTACATGAGTAACTTAAAAGGCTTCTAATTGATATCGAATTACTTTTCAAAACATGTGATCACGGTAAAGCTTGATGACTTTTCTTGGAGGTCAGTTAGCTTTCATAAACTGAATTACATTTTTGATTATGAAAAAGATATGAACAAAACCCCTAGACGAGATCAGATATGCGTTGCCGAAATTTATAGTAATATCAAATTAATTTCTGGTCTATTCAGACTGTAGAATACCACAAGTGAAGTAATTTCACGCCCCTAATTCAAGTGTGAATTTTGTCACCTGCAATAATTCGGAGAATATTAGATTCACTAACTTCCTTAGGCGGTCAATTCACTTTTTTCTATCAAGAAATTTCTCTAGATATCCAATTCGCCGAATAACTCATGGATATTTTTGCTGTTGTACGGTTGGAGGAACTCACCAGTCAGCAAGGCGTATGCTCAAACTCGAAGGAATTCATATCCCTTCTGAGGAGCTTCGAACCCGTCTCACCCAGTGCCACCTGCAGTCAGAGACGTTGCCACTGTGGTATTCATGCTCGCGATTGACCTACTGTAGGACTGTACTGCATACTCTTGGTAATTCTAGATTTGTCACCAATAGATTCATGTGAGACGATTACGATGACTGTATGAACCAAACTCAGCTAGACTGCGTTTGTAT